AAAAMYKKTWAAAAAACTCGGACAATTTGCTTCATATTACGTCATTAAATGTTATAGAAGAAAATACTAAACATATCTCGAACCCTACTTTRAATTTACAAAACAATGTCTATATGCACAAAAAGTAAGAACGATAACTAGCTTGAGCTAAATGGGGAGGGGTAAGGCCAAGCCAAGGTGCGCRTCAACCCAATGCAGTCTACAAAAGTGGTTTTACTGAAACGTGTTGGAAAAACTGGTCTGAACCGGTTACAGTCCTAATTTTTTTYCCGCTAAATGATGTAACAGGAACTGCATTGATTTTCAGGCATTAGTTTTCCCTTTGTTCAAAGATTGGATCAGATAAATTCAAAAACGAATATTTGAAGCAAAAATTACGCATTTTTGTCGAGTGTTTCTATCAGGGGCCGACAAAGAATGAGAAAGAAAAAACTCAGAATACGAACCGAGCTTGTACATTACCAAATGATTTAAGTATTATATAAATAGTGAGGAATTAGAAATAACGTTTCACTGTGGACAACTCAAAAACTTCAACAGACATATTTTTATATTTTTTTAAAAATACGTGTAGGTCTGTATCCCGGCATCTCCATGGGAGGTGAGGACATTTTCACAAAAATCTGGAATCAGACCAACAAAACCTCGGGAGGATCGAGAATCATTGTCGTTTCTTAAAAAAAAACCTTTAAAAACAAACTTTTGTAGTTGGATAAGTGAATTTCGAATGTATGTCTGACATCACCGCGATTTACAATGAAAACAATGGTATAAAAGCACATTGTTGACAACGTTATTGGTTGAATCTCTGCCGAAGATCGAAGAAGAAATTGAAAGAAGACGGGAACAAATTTTTTTTTAAAGAACCAATATATCAGTCAACTAAAAGACTGATTCTCAATAAATACATACATTGTACCAAACGTTTTCCCGAGTTTGGGGGAGGGGAGACAGGAAAATAATGGAAAATAATGTATTGCGGTATTTGGGAAAGAAGCTGGCTATGGTTGGCGTCCTTTTTTCATGAAACTGCCAAATCGATTTCCTTTTAATACGTTTATTATTTTCAAGCTCCTTTTAGTTTAACGAACAGTATTACAACAAGAAGAGGCGTTGGAAACAATTGTCAAAGGTCACTCCAAGGTTCTCTTGTGTCTCCTTAACAAAACTGGTTTTCTACCAGTTACTACACCTTAATCGTAGTCATACATTTCCTCATCATGTGAACGTTTGTAATCACGTAGCGTTGTTATGCAATGTTAAACCTTTGTCAGAATAACCGCAAAGAAACGTAAAAGTGTTTTTAAGGAGCATTTATCCAGTTTACGGTCATTAAAGTTTTGTAAAAATGCATGTACAACTTTGAAACTAATTATCTAGTATATTCACTGTAAACACAGTTCTCCGATATCTCCTTACGAAAACTGGTTTCATTCAAGTTCTAATCAGTTCAACGTTCACGTGACCGTAAGTCAAATGCGCAAATGGCACATTATCATCGGTATGTCAAACCACTTGGACCACAAAGCCTTCTTTTTGAAGCATAAGTTTCCTGGCTTTCAACAGAAAACTTAAAAACTGCGTAAAAAAAGCGTTTGAGAAGTTGCTCCTAAGTAGACAACATGTAGACAAATAAATACGTCAGAGGGGGTGGGGTGGGGATAGTTAGTACTCACATAAATCCATAAGAAGCCTTGATAAAGTCAATTGAATTGAACAATGAGTATGACAGTCCTAATAGTGCTGAAGTCCACAGTAAACATAACAACACAATCTTGAGTGTATGTATTATGGAATAATCTTGCATGATCTGAAAGAAATCAAGTAAAAATTAGTAAAATTTATAAAATGTTTTCTTTACATCAGTATGTATCAGAACTGGAATGCAATTTTTTTTATTCTAAGCCACAAAAGTCCTCTTGTCCAGAACATAGCAGGACATTTTTGATGATTATTGTCATAATAATGATGACATTCTTAGACAGTTTACCTTTAATAGAATAAGAGTAACTGGTACCAATAGCATAATAGGGTACAATGAATGGTAAGCTGCACAAGCTACACCTAGAGTTGCCAGCAAACAGTTTCCTGGAAAATAAAGTGAAKTATTACTAAAAAATGATACTTCATATAGATATTTCAAAAAAGGTTGAGTACCAAATGTTATGATACCGAATACAGCTTATACTAACTCTAGAATACACAACCGACATATAGGACTTTCAAAAATGTCCTTATTTCAAGACCGCCAAAATTGGAGGACTATTGACGAATAATGGAAACGAGACCTCACAGGCCTTACATCTGAAAATCACTAAGAAGATCGCATGTACATGTAGGCAGTGTTCAAAAGTTTGAAAGATGTATTGATTGTATTGAGACCTCATTTAAGTGCTTTATCCCCAGTGCCTTGGTCATCAACAGTGATATATCACGCYATTTTTGAAAGTTGTGAATGTTATACAAAATAATGCACCTGTCTACAAAATAAATTCCCCTCAAATAATGGTAAAGAGATGGCATAGTTACTCTAGTACAGTGAAATTTAGAGTGGTGATATAAATATCATCAATGCATTGCAGTATGGTATACGCTGCCTTCACTACAAAACATCTGAAATAACTAAATTTGAAATGCAATATGTAAGTAGGCATTGGAATGGTTTACTTACCTTTAAGGGCTCCATAYAATGACAATGCTAATCCAAGATTAGTGAATATTATAGTTGATTGTGCTACACAGCTACCAATAGTGTACGGATTTAGAAGATATCTACAAAAGATAAATTTGTCAACATATAAACACTCAAAAATACTTCTACTATGAAATACTGTACTGTGTATAAATGCCRGTATTGTTTTGATGTGGGAAATGAGTTGAAAATGAGTGATTGTKAACAGCCTGTTATTTCAACCAAACAAGCTTTGGATTTTAGGTTTGTGAAGTAAATAAAAAACAAACTCATGAAAGCTGAATTACTCACACTGTAGCTGTTAAAAATGGTGTGCTTCCCAATCCTGACTCTGACATTAAAATAGGACCAACATTCTTAGCAAATGAAGACTGACGCCTTTTTTGATCTTCAAGCTACAAAAAAAAATTACCATATCAAATGGGCTAGCAAATACTAGTTCCCTTTGGTCTGTAAGACAATGCAAGTTATGCAGGCCAACATGAAAGCTACCTTGCTACCTTGGCCCTCCATGATGATTGGTTAAGAAAATGATAGAAATATTATGTAAATATTGCAAAACAAAAACACACAAACATATCAAACTGAAATGCACAACAAAACTTTGACGTGACTCTAATGATGGCTGGACTAACTACTAGCATTTCACATAGATCAATATCGATTTCTTACCAGAACTATTGCATTGAATTGAGCGACTTTATACAGCAGACACCCAATGACAGTATCCAAGACCTGCCAAATAAAAATATCAATRAACTGATTGAAAAAAATCACATTATATGTGTACAATGATACTTACCACAAACATCAAAGGAATAAATCGGGATGACACTTGCTTTATGCTATAAAACAGAGCTAACACAAGAGGCGTCTGTGTTTGAATGATACAAACAAAATATTTTGAGCTCTTCATTGCTAGTTTTTATCAGTTTTATAAGTTAAAATATCATCATATTCTTAAAATTTATGCTACATGTGTATACCAACACTTACACCTCATGACACTAGCAATAAATACTAGCATATCAACTATTAACATTAACTTCCACGAAAAGTGTAATTCCGATCCGAGGATTTTATGTTTACGATAACACTACAAATTCCACTTCTTTGAAACATATAATACTTACTTCATGAACAATGTCACCCTTGTAGGGGGAAATGCCATGATCCAAAAGAACAATACCGTCCAGAACTATGAAATCCAAATACGAAAATATATGCTTAAATCAGATCAGAGAGCATTAATTTAAAACCTTTTTACCTCTATTCCAACTAGTAAGTGGSGTATTCAATTCAATCCTTTCTTTAAAGTAGTTGTTAACTGGGCTGTACATAAAAAATAATCGTATAAAAGCAGCTAAAACGATCACTAACACGAAGTGAAACGATTTCTCCAAATTGCTCTTGACGGCCGCCATTTTGTTTTATCCGTTACACACAGGAACTCCAAACAGAATAAATTGGACTTCCTGTGAATCTTTCAACCTAGTCCTCTGTCCTAGTTTCTCGGACGAATCAAAATGGTGGACTTGCTCTTTGTTAGTTGCAGCTGAAGTTCTGCTATTTTTAACTCTGTTTCTCTTAGAATCCAAGAAAAAAACTACGCAAAACAAGAAATAACTATCAAAAGGTGGAATATAGGATTATTTCTGTTGACATTGGTCAATTGTGCAAGACAAAATGCTTCCTTCAGTAGGTGTTGTTGATGCTGGAGAAAATGCTCGTGAGCTGATATCCTCACTTCGAAGTTCAGGTTTCTCGGTAACTGGTGTTTGGGGAAGTACTCAGCATCAAGCACAAGTCATGGCACATAAATACGACGTTCCTTACGCGACRTCGAAGATAGACGAGCTACTATTAAAAGAAGACGTCGACCTTCTTGTTGTTCTGTGCCCTCCACATCAAAGAGCAGAAGTTGCAGTCAAAGCTCTGTCGATTGGAAAACATGTACTTTGCGAGGCACCAGCTGGGCTTAGCAAAGATGAAGCCGACAGAATGGTAAATGCGGCTCAATATTATCCAAAATTGCTTTCTCTCATYAAACACGAGCTTAGGTTTGTACCCACTTTTGTCAAAATGAAACGACTACTCGAGGAGGGGTACTGTGGGGATATTCTTGTCATAGAATGTCGACTAGAAATGGGATCTTTGATTGGAAGTAATTACAATTGGATGTGTGACCAAGCAATGGGGGGAGGTGTCCTTGCCAAATATGGATCACATATTGTTGACCTAGTGTCATTTTTAACCAATCAGCAAGCAGAGTCCGTAAATGGAACTTTGAAGACATTCATTTCCCAGACTGATAACATCTCAAGCTTTCGGCACATTACTAGTGATGACTATTGTGCATTTCAAATGAAGCTTACAGGCGGCATATTTGTGACRGTAACACTAAGCACACATATGTCYGGTCAATACAGTCAGTTCATATCTGTTCTTGGAACCGAGGGGCGTCTTATTACGCGCAATGATAACTTGCATGGCCAGAAAAATGGTGGTAAAGAAGTACTTCTCTATGCTACCACCCGTGTTATTCCTTCCATTGAAAAGAGCAACACTCCAGAGATCTTTCTTATTGGTCTTGAAGCTTGGGTGCGTGAAATCAAAAGAGCTTTTGAGGAGTCACTCGATAAAGATGATCGGCGAAATGCAGATTTGCAAGCCATTGCTAGTGCAGCATCATTTGAAGATGGTAAGAAATATGCATGTATAAAGTCGATTGACAAACGTTTGTCATCAAAACGTGTCAACATTTATTTCTGAACCGGGTTTCACGAAACTGGTTTCTGGGTTAAAATTAATTAACTGGCAAATTAGAAATTTAAATTGACACTATKCTAGAAGGTGTTGTTATGCCTAATTTGCCAGTTCATTGAAATTTACCCAGAAACCTGTTCAGGTGGGTCACGTGCTATGAAGTCTGGTCGATGACAACTTTTTGTCATTCAAATATATGTGTGTGATTCATTTGCAGAAATGCATATTTTGATAATGAATACATTATTTTTTAGGTGTTTACACAAGAACTGTCCTGGACTGCATCAAACAATCCAGCAAAACAGAGCAATGGGTAAAAGTGCAGTCATTTTCAAAGATTAACAAGAAAAAACCATCAGATAACACTAAGCAAGACAGAAAAATCTCTCTTAATATAACCACAGAGACCAAGGAAGGAAAAGAACATATATCATCACCCTTRAAACGATCTCAGACACAAAAATCTCTCTAAAAGACTAAAACACATGCTGAAACAAAGTCATCTTGACTCAGGTCATTAGCAGCCAATGCATTATTGTTAAATTTCTTTTTTTTTTTTTCTAATAGTTTTAAAATACAGTGACAATTCTGTTTGTCAAAAATCAAATAAATGGTAAGGCGAYCCATATAGGGTGTAAAGGTGCTTCCATTTAAGGCATGAATAACCATACAAGGAATAGTGGGCACTTGATTGATTGTCAGATATTAATAATATAATATAAAATACCAATTAATTGTTTGAATTGATTGATTGCTTGTCAAAGTTTTTTCGCAGTTGAGAGTCCTATTCAACTCAAGTAGGTGTCAGCAAGGTAAAAGTACAACTGCTGAGAGGTTTAAATCTCTTTTATTTCTTGCTTTATCACTTCTAACTACCATTAWAACTACTCAAATTGTTTTAATTCTTGCAGAATGCATCTTTTGTCAATCCTGTAAAAAAATCATGTTTTATCAGTCATGGTATATTGATTGACATTCAAACTGATTGAGATACTTACAAGGAGTACATAGTCCGCAAGACTTGGGGCATGCCATAAATGCACCCTCTATGTTATAAGCTCTGTTTTTAGGGCATAATTCTTGTTTAATTTCAGAAGTGCTGCACATAAATTCACCAAAATGATCTTTGCAGCCTGAAAATGAGAGAATTAATACAATAAACAGTGATTATTACTAGTAGTAGATGAAAAGCAGTTGGGCTGCAAACTTGCTCTCAAATTTCAATAGAAAGGTTAACCATTATSTGATAAATTTACTGTTATTTTAGAACTCTTTTCAGTGGGAGTAGCATATTTTCGTGAACTGATTCATTTAAAATTTTATGCATAACTGCAAGATGAACTAGTGTTGTTTATGTATTTGTAATAGTCTGATTTAGCGTACAAAAGAGATCAATAGAGTAGCTCTAGGGACATAAAAGGACACATSACAATTGAAGTCTCTGAGGCTTTTAAGATCTTTAACTTGGGGAAAATTCTAATGACGTATGACGTAAATAATCGTGTGGGCCGCCCTAAGAAGATTAAAATATTTCTTCTCCAGTCACTTTGAGTTAAAGTCTCTCACAAGAAAATCAAAAAGCTTTTTATCAAAAGCAAAAGCAAGCAAAGCAACTGACCCTCTCCACAAGTGTCGACACAGGTCTTTCCGCAACCCTTTCTTGCTGGGTCTGTATAACACAATTGGTAGTGTCTTAAGACTTCGCAGTCCTTCTTTGGGATTGTGTCTACACAGTCTAAAATAAATGCAAAATTTGTATCAGACGTTACTATCATTGTTGATAAAATAAGCTTGATGTGGTCATGATGATGATAATGGTGATGATATATGAAAGCCGTTATCAGAAAATAATCAGATATAAAATAATCAAAGTAATAGTATTGTCAAATGGATCACATAGTGCAAATAATTTCCCAACAATATAATTTCTTCAGTTTGTGTTTGGTTTGCTTTATGTTTTTAGTTTTTTTATTTATTTATTTTTGTTGTTGTTTTTGTTGTTGTTGTTGTTGTTTTTGTTGTTTTGTTACGTTTTGTTTTGTTTTGTTTGGTAGGTTGTCGTTTGTTTGGTAGGGTGTTTTTTTTCAAGTTCGCGGCCAGCAAATGGCCTGAATAATTTCTCAGTCCGTCTCTCGCCAGTATTGTCGCCATATTGTACTAACGCCGAGCGCCTTTCAAAGTTTTTAGGCATAGCATACTTAAGTTCAATAAACAATAAGAATAATGATATAATACTTGTTTTGGACTTTTTTACAGGCTCGTCCACGTAAAAGGCACTACCAGAAACCACGGCAATGAACAGCAAAGTGATTAACAAAGATGCCATTTTCTAGAAGAGATAAACGAACCACATTAATACAATCTTGTTTGTGATCCTTTWTATATCATGAGCTTTAGGGAGTCTTTTAATATTTGATTAGCGATAATTAATATAACTAATGGCCTGTGATTGGATCATCTGAAGTAGTAATGTGYTGTGATTGGTTTGAAGTTGTAAGAGTCCCCATTTAACCAATAAGAAGTTGCGTTTATTAAACAAATTGATCCAGCCCAGTTTTGAACGCATATTTGTGGACACAATGAAAGATCACTGAAATGAGTTTGGTYAGTTTTGAGTATTAAAGGTACTTTAGTCCAATATCCTGACAACTAGATTGATATTGTAAGATACTTGACTTTTAAGGAAAATAGATGAGCCATTGAAATTATTGTATCAAAGACAAAATAGCCTCACAAATTGAAGAAGGCGATACGAAAACACCGAAAACACACATTTAGCTCTTTCGTAATGAAGTACTACGTATTAATTTTGTTAACTAATATTTTGAATTTCAATCGTTATGTACTTACTGACTTAAGGTGCTAACCCTAACCTAACCGGCAAAGAGAAGTGAAGTAAGTAAGAATAATATAGTGATTAACTTCTATCAAGAAGTGAGTTAGGAGATCCATAAGGTATCAGCCCAGGCAATCGACAGGCAAAATCGCTTTATTACATTTTTATTTTTCCATGTATCATTGAAAGATCTTTTTGAGTTCTGACTTTTTATCTACAATCTGTAAAATTACGATGCTTAAAACAAAATTTATAGTGTGATCTAAAGGTTTTTATTTCTGTTGGTTTACAGTCAAAAGACTTGAACCGCGCCCCCTCAAAACACGATTATTCAATTCATTATTCGATTCTTGGTCGATTCAACATTACTGACATTATTGAAATCAAATTTGAATTGGATTATTGATCGGATTTTCATAAAGCCTTCTTCGTATTTCGCTTGTAACAGCTGGTCTTATATTATAATTTCCACAAGTTGATGCATTGCGATATGCTGTCTGTTAAGTTCTTATTAGATCTGTTCCTTCTCGTGAGAAAGGAATGAAGGCCTCAAAAAGTTGGAAATGCTGTGTTGTTTTCTGTCATTCTGTCATTAAGTTTGAAAACGAAAAATAAAATGAAAAATCCAATAATGYATTGAATAACGAACTATTCGGGGGCGCGCTTCATGTCTTTTGACTGTAAATGAGGGGATGACAGCTGTTGTCAARATTGATCTTTGAATATGGAAGTCAAACAGCCATATAATGTCACGCTTTAATATAATTTAATGTCATTCGAATGATTAGTGAACCGTATGTCCAAGAAATACCGTACTCCTTTCATAAGCTGTAAATAAAGAACGTCTTACGGTCTGTTAYATCTATCTTTCATACTTGTTTCCGGAGTGGCTTTATAAGTCCCAAATACTTACATTTGTAGTCAAAATTCTCTTTTCAAGTCGTTTCTCGAGATAAAATTTTCAACGAGTAGGGCGTGCGTTTTTAGATATGATGCAATATGATGCAATATCAAATACATTTCAAACACTTTTAAACATTATCTTCATTGAATGGATTACAGAAAATATATATACTTTTGCACGTATTTGCGGCAAAATAAAACTTCTATAGTCTGGCGACTCGAGCTYTTGCACGAGTAGGTGTCCATATCAAAGTCATTCCCTGTAAACTTRAACATTTGCTCTAATTTATACTTTTTCAAAATTAATACGATTTTCCTAAAGCTTTAATATTCCTTTTTATAAATCCGACGGTAATAATCGAAATTTTAGAGCCGATTCTGAATAATGAGGAAAAAGGTTCAAATCGGGTGTTGTGGGGGAGTGATCACCGGAAGTTGATACGAGCTTTTGTAAGCAATGATATGATGAAATAACTATAAAGCTTTCAACGTATTTTGACACCTTAAAAGTTTCGAACATATAGGCAAATTATATATCAAAATCTAGCAAATGTATCGAACTTTTCGAATCTTGCGGTAGTATTACTGTATGGGCCTGCATTAAGGAGTACGGAGACGTTGTATTACCCTTGGTGGTGAGAAGAGCTCAAAACGTCTTGTGTAGGTACGCAAATTTGATTCAGAAAATCGAATTTTGACCCCCTTATTTTTTATACTTTTTCAAAATAAATACGATTTTCCTAAAGCATAAATATCCCTTTTTATAAATCCGATGGTAGTATTCGACATTGTAGAGCCGATTCTGGATAAATGAGCAAAAACGTACAAATCGGGTGCGAATTATAGTCAGGCATTGCTGGGGAGTGATCGCCGGAAGTTGATACAAGATTTTGTATGCAATTACTTTCATATACATAGCCGGCACTAGATTGATTGCTAAGGCAGCTTTCACAGCTGAGAGTAAAACTCAAATCAAGCAGGTGTCAGCAAAGCAAAAGTACAACTGCTCAAGAGGTTTTAAATCTCTTTTATTTCTTGCACTATTGTTTTCTACCAAGTCATTTGCACTATTTTTTTCACGGATCTAAATAGGAGATGTGCTGTGATTGGTCAAAAGGTTTTATCGGGTTCCTTATTGAATCAAAAAATTTGCGTTTTTTTTTTTAACAGAAGTTATTTCACCAATCAGATCTTTGCATCCGGTTTTTATCGCATGTTTGTAGAAAAAGTGAAAGATCGGCTTCGAAACGAGTTTGTTATGCTTTAACTACTTAAAAGTGCAGACGACCAACATCCTGAAAATGTCATTATAAGATGCTTGACTTAAGTAAAGTAGATTAACCACTGATTTCGCCTTAAGACTTAAGACGTGTCAAAGTGAGAGCTCATACAAACTGAACAAGATACGAAATCTTCACAGTGCATTTTTATGACAAATCTATAAACAACGCATAAAACACGCAGCCATTTATTGATAAATTTTGATAGAAAAAGCACTAAAAGGCTTTGAACTTTCTGATTAAAAATTTGTTCTTCATTTGCTCAATAACCAGAAAATCAAATGAACAAAAATAATTATATTAAAATGTGTTCAGCAATGTTTAAGAATTCATTGTTTTCCTCTATTCTCATATATTTCTTGTCACGAATTTTGCAAGTTTACTGACTTRCAACACCGAATGGGAAATAAGTAGCAATGTTGGAGTGTCTTTTAGTAGATATTATAAACTGTGAGCATCTAAGKTGAGCAACCTTGAATAAAATCAGTAAAAYCTAKAAGAATTATTTCGGCTGCAGCATTTTTATCCACTGTGCCCTATCAATAAAAGTACTTATAGCCTTAAAACTATCACCACTTGGTTTGGTATATACTTACTCCTTTTCGTTGAAAATGATTGATATCTTCCTCAAGGTAGAACGACAAAGTCAACTAAAGTGGGGGAAATCAGTCAAGTGGTTTTAAGAAACCAGCTTTCCAAATTGTGATAAAATGTCTAGGAAGCCATATATGGCTTAAGTGACATCTCCATTTATGGTATAAGTGACCATAGAAGGTGCAGAATGGGCTGAAAATTTCTATCATTTCAGAAAGGTTGACATGACCTAATAGACGTGGGTCGAAAGTAGATATGTGTATTAAACATGATCGATCGACTATCAACCATATATTTACGATGAATTGATATTGAATCGTGTGGTTTTCAATTAGTGTAAATACTATCCCGAGAATACATATCAAACAAAAGCAATAATAAACGTGTGACATTTCGCTATTTTTTACCATATTATCCATGTGGATTTGTTCATTATGTACCATTTGTTACCTATGGAGCTACTTACACAATGATGACAACCTTTTTTAACAATGTATTCGTTAGCTGAAAACAGTATAACTATGTCTTACATATGTTATTTATTCGGTGTTGATTGTAATACAAATAGATATCATCCCAATCTTTATATGAATATTTTATTTTTTCCTTACCAGCTTTTAGTGCATTAGTCGATTGATGTTGGCTAGAAATTGGAAACAAATAGGCTTGATTCCAATCTATTATAAATATTTCATTTTTTGTTTCTCGCACAGCTTTTAGTACATTAGTGAATTGATTTGGGCTAGAAATCGGAAATAAATAGCTTTGATCCCAATCTTATATAAATATTTCATTTATTTATTTMTTTTATTTCTTGTGYTTTTTTCTTCTTCTTTTTTTCTGCTTTATTTCGCGTCGACGAACGTTTTAATCGTATACTCCCTAACACATCTCTTTATGCAATTCCCATTTTTTATTTCTTTCCCATTTTTTTTACTCTAAAACATTTATTCGCTATATAAAAATGGGAAAACAACACCTTCGGTGAATGCACTAAGCATGGGTTGGAGCTAAATAGTAGAAATAATACGGAGAGAAAAAACGACACCAATTCTAATTGCACAAAGAAGAACATGTCATCCAATGTAAAACAATYGTCCTTCGGTCTAGCCATCCTCAAACGAACCACTTTCTCACTTTGTACCATTTGCAAACAGATTCTTTTCAATAGAAAATGTCATTAATGCGTTTCTGTACTGTTGGTATATGGTATTTTTGACCTTTTATGCTTTCATATTGGATTGTAAAGTATGYGTGTTTATTTCTACGTTTAGACTTGCCAATATTGACGTGAATATTTTGCATTGTTAGTATTATTTCAGATTATTTACAATGTAACCCATGGAATGAAAAACAAATGTTTAATACACGGCCGATCTCGATCAGCWAAAACAGATAAGAAAAATCAGTTTTCACGACTTTAGGCTTGTCAGTTTAAACTAAGAGATTGTTTACCCTTAGGAAATGTTGTACCTCTTTATAACTGTTGTTTAGTGTTGTTCCCCAGGGTCACTGCCTTTTTCCGTTGACGACGAATGCTCAAAAACACCGGTAGAAAAGACTAACACTCAGAGGTGTTCGCAGTGACTATTTACTTTACTTATCAATGATCACTGATATATCGTTTGACTGGGAAGATTTATTCCCAACACACCTGTTCAAACAACAACGAAAGAAAATCCGCAGATTGAGATGTCTTTCTTTTGTGAAAGCGCAGAAGTAACTTAAAGCAAAAGGGTTCTGAGTGAGGACTTGTCATGTTGGATCGGCCACTTGATGAGTATTGCGTAAACGATCCAATTTCACGCTAGTTTTCTGTTTTTTCCGTGCTATATATATATTTTTTTGTTTCATAATGATTATCTTCAGCGATCATGATTGTGGTACCGTTTTCCTTATAGAGGTTATTTTCTATTTTTTCGTTAATATATGACACTACTATAGTAKGATGTGTAAGAAATTCCAATTAAATGCACACGACAAACTCTTAAGCATATTCACAACTGATTTTAACCCCGAAGTATTAATGAGATTGAAAATAAGGTGCGTACGAGGACAGAGGTCACCAAATATCCAGCTGTTTGTGGGCTGGGCTATCAGCAATASAAATCAWTTCATACWAAAACCACTCACTAGGAATGCTTGATAATTACCATGTAGGTTCCTTCAATACATGATGTGTTCTCTCAGTAGTCGGAAAGTCAATTCTTACTTGATGTATCAGACGTGAAGCCGTCTCTCTACACATTATCAGTGGAGTTATCTTGCATATTTACAAATAGAGGGAAGTGTGGGTACGTTAGTTGGGGGGTTGAGGAGCGGGAGAAGTTGAGGGTGGTCATTAACTTTTCTGATCATTTCACCCATTTCGCGACCCCCTCACTCCCCCTCCCCCCTCCCCCCTCCTTTTGAAAATTATTGCGCAGTCCCTAATATATAAACCTTAGTGGTAGCTTTTGGACCAATCAGAGCTCACGTAATAAAACAAATTTATCATGAATATCAATACTGTGGTATGTGCGTGTGGTCGACATGCGCGCGGACTATTTCAAGCGTTCTATAAAATGACAAAGGTAGTATCGTCAAGATTCTTTATAATGACAAATTTATTGCTACAGGATTAGGTGCATATTTGAATAAACTACATCCACCNCTTCGATGGCAATCTACCCTGTGGCGATCAGTGTTCCCTCCGATGTTTTCAATTTGATTTCAGCCTGCTGTATTTTGTTATAGTTTATAATATAGATTGTTCAGTGYTGATTTCAGACCCAGATTCCTTTCAACGGGGTGAGGTATAATCATCTATTTTAGATAATTTACTGTTGCTAAGCAACAAACGTCCAATTCCACACGCATCAAATCGTGGCGATCCACTTATCAGGCTCTCTCGAAGGGGTTTGGGGCGAAGCGAGAAAGGAGAGAGAGCCTGATACTCAGGCTACGATCCACTTGAACGTGTTTGTAGTGATGAAGTGATGAGACTATGAGATGCAGGGTTACTGAGGTGTTATGATAAGAATTTAGTGATTTTCGATCCATTGTGAAAGAGTTTATCAAATTAATGTAGTGAGTTGTTCTGCACTGTGACTCTATTGTTTCGATGTTCGTTTTGTTCACATTACTGGGGTTCCAGACTATTAAATGATTATCAGTTTTCTCCCACGATCAACAACCGTCATAGCAGCTAGTTTTAATTATCAATTCACTCAGTCCGTCATTTCTACTTTAAATTTTTATTTCATTTTTATCCAGGATGATTTAGAAAATGGAAATAGGTTCGAATAACATTTTGACAGAAACTCCACTGATAGCGCTGTGTACACAATGGAATGCGGTGAAGTTATTGCATACATGCATCCCCGCGGCAATGTTAACTCTTTCACTATCCCTAAATTTAGCAGAATTCCTCATTTGGTGGCTGAAATTCGACGTAAGAGTTCTTGTTATCATTGATAACTGGCTGCGACTGCGAGTCAGTAAAATTGTGTCGATTCTCGAGAGCTGTCATAATCCACTGAATAATGCAATAGTGCATAGCAGAACAACGTCAAAAATATCAATAAAAAATCATCAATTATCTGCATAAAGTAGAATGAATCAAAAGTATTCTCGAAAAACAACATGTTTACTGGCTTATAAAGCAGCGCCGACTGTTCAATTTCAGTATCATTAATATTGACAAGTTTAGAGTACAGTATTCTGTAATTAGTACTCTAAACTCTTTTGAGAAAGCATAATTGCATTCCTGAATAATCGCGAAAGAGATCAAACTTTACATATAAAACCCGACCCTCGACCAACTACCCTCGACTCTCGACTTTCGACCCTCGACCCTCGACCAAAAGACAGACTCTACAGGTTATATTGACGTTCGACCAAAAACGGACCCATCCACAGCGCGGTATTACTAGGATGNCATTTGCCATTGTTGCCTTCGCACCCTGTGCCACCCAATCGTACACAGGATCCTTTCTTTTCAATTCTCTCTTCCTGTCAAGAGAAGGAGTTGGATTATATATGGGTACGTACGTCATCACTAGTGATGCAAGATCCTACACAACAGTACCTGAAAATTGATTGTCATTTGAATGATTAAGGTAGTTAGTCATAACTGATGAAAATAACTACATCTGATAAAACAATGGTAATTTACTATTCTCAAACTTCCAGCGCAAGTGGGCCGCTTAGCCTCGAAACTATGTCTAAATTTATTGGCTATATCCAAGTGTTTTATATCCTAGGAACGAGTTTATTAATAAAAGTTAAGGAAACGAAACGTATAAGTAGATTATTTAATTCACGACGAGTTTATTCCCGCTTCTACTAGAAATCTAAGAATAGACAATAAGATAGTACTTGAGACTGTAGAATCTAACAATTTCATGCCTGACCATGAGAATATGCATCASAAAAGTACAGAATGTGTTCATCAAACGTGACGTTGCCTATGTACTGCAATAACTACACCTAARCGATTGTCCACTAAAACTCTACTAYAAACAGGACAAAATATACGATAATATTGAATGACATTTAAACTGCACAGCCACTCTCTACTCGATGTCAAATTGTGTGCATGATGGRCAAAGCATGATGTCATCTGGAATAAACCTGGACAAAGACATATCCCTTTGAAATTCGTAACCTCCCTCRACTTACTCTTGGCAATAACGAATTTAAACCCATTATTAAAAGTATTTTCCTAATGAAGGATTGCAAGAATAAAACTAAATCTTGACAAACTCGAACTTGATTAAAATAAGCTATGTTCCGTGTTACACATGATGAGTTTTGTTGCCAAATGTTCTTCTTTTTCTTATGTTGCATACCATACCTGTTCCATTTGCTCAAGCCTTTTGAATAACTCTTGCAATTTAGAGCGTCTTGTTGCCTCGATGCTCAGAAAGCAGGTCAAGAAATGGCCGGCATCCCATAAAATAACAGATTTCTCTTTTATTATTCTTATTTAAAGAGTTAAAACAACATAATCAACATTTCTGAAACTTTCATGGTACTGTAGAGACATTTTTCTTTTTTAATCATAGAAAGTTCCTCAACCTAGTGTCACGTATTTTCGTTCAACTGTGAACGAACTTATCATATTCATAGTTGGTGCCTCTGCACTCTG